AAAGCAACTACACAAATGTGTTTTAATTTTAAGAACCTTGACATGGCAACATTATTGGTTATCCTGGACTGCCTGGGTGGGCCCAATCTAATCATCAGAGATCTCATAAACTTTGCATCTGAGTACCAGACAGACAAAAGCATGAGATAAACTCCACCCAACACTGCTGGCTTTGAAAGTAGAGGATGGGGCTACTACAAGACAAGAAAAGCAAGCAGCCTCTAGAAGAAGGAAATAGTAAAGGCTCATAACATTACAAAAGAAAAAATGTCTGGAAACCTTGATTTTAACCCAATGAGGTCTATGTCAGATTTCTAACCTATGGGACTATAAGACAATAAATCTGTATTGTTTTAAGTTTGTGACAATTTGTTACTGCAACTACACAAAACAAAATAGGTAAAATATAAATTCTTCTTTTCCCTTCCTCCCCCAGTGACAAGTCTCAAGCATTTTATTGCCTAATGCCCAAAGTAATGAAAAGAAATTTTAAACCTAGCATTTGACACCTCACTCTCATTAAATTGATTATCATCAAAATATAGTGAATGTTGGGAAGGATGTGGAAAACTGGAAGCCTTGTGCACTGCCGGGAATGTAAAATGGTGCAGCCACTATGGCAAACTGTGTTATACTTTCTCAAAAAATAAAAAATGCAACTACCATATGACCCAGCAATTGTACTTCTGGGTAAAATGGAAAACAGATATTCGCACATTCATATTTAAAGCAGCTTATTTATAACAGACAAAAGGTGGCAGCAACTCAAGTATTCCTCAACAGATAAACAAAATGATAACATATCCACACAATGAAATATTATTCACCCATAAAAAGGAAGAAAATTCTGACATATGCCATAATATAGGTAAACCTTGAGGGCATTATGCAAAGTAAAATAAGGCAGTCAGTCACAAAAAGACAAATGTGCGATTCTACTCACAAGAGGTATCTAGACGTCAAAGTCATACAAACAGAAAGTAGAATGGTAGTTGTCAGAGGCTAGGAGAAGATGAAGTAGGAAGCTGTTGTTTAATGAGTTTCAGTTTTATAAAATGAAAAAGTTGTGAAGGCTGTTTATACAAAAATATGAATATATTTAACACTACTGAACTGTATACTCAAAAACAGTTCAGCCTTGGCCAGGTAATTCAGTTGGTTAAAGTGTTATCCTGATACACCAAAGTTGTAAGTTTGAGTCAGTCCTGTCAGCGCAAATACAAGTGTCAACCAATGGATGCATAAACAACTGGAATAACAAATCAATGTTTCTCTTTCTCTCTCAAATCAATAAATAAGAATTTTAAAAAAGTTAAAATGATAAATTTTATGTGTATGTTACTATAATTTTTTTAAAAAGCTAACATATGTGGGAAAAACAGAAAACACAAACATATGGACTTTTCCAATTAATCCAAGCAACTCTCCCTCAATCTTCCATAGGCTAAATATCACTTCACTATATAACAATCCTACACTTGTCTTTGCAATTAAAAATATTAAGTCCAGAACAATTAGGCAAGAAAAAGAAATAAAAGACAGCCAAAGTGGAAATAAAGAAGTAAATGTATCTGTTGATAGATAATATGATCTTACATACAGAAAACTCTAAACACTTCACCAAAAAACTGTTAGAATAGACAAATTCAGTAAAGCTGCAGGATACAAATCAATATACAAAAAATAATCTCTATGTTTCTACACACTAATAATGAATTATTAGAATAAGAAACTAAGAAAAACAATTCCATTTACAACTGCATCAAAAATAATAAAATGCCTAGAAATCAATTTAACCAAAGTGCAAGTTCTGTACACTGAAAACTATTAGATATTAATGAAAGAAATAAAAAGACAGAAATAAATGCAAAGATAGTTCATGCTCATGGACTGAAAAAATATTGTTGGAATGTCCATACTACTCAAAACAGGTGACAGAGTCAATGCAATCCCTATCAAAATTCCAATTATTTTTCACAGAAATAGAACAAACAGTCCTAAAATGTGTGGAACCACAAAGATCCCAAATAGCCAAAGCAATCTTGAGAAAAAGAACAAAGCAGAGGCAACAGATTCACTGATTTCAAACTGTATTATGTAACTATAGTCATCAAAACAGTATAATATTGACATAAAAACAAAGACATAGATCAGTAGAAAAGAGCAGAGAGCCCAGAAATAAACCCACACATATACGGTCAATTAATTTACAACAAAGAAGCCAAAAAAATATACAATGAAGAACAGTCTCTTCAATAAATGACACTAGGAAAACTGGACAGCCACATGTCCAATCAAACTGGACCACTATCCTTACACCACACCCAAAAATTAACTAAAAATGGAGTAAAGGCTTGAATGTAAAACTGAAACCATAAAACTGTTGGAAGAAAACATAGGCAATAAAACTCCCTGACACTGGTCATAGCAATCATTTTTTTAGGTTTGACACTAAAAGCAAAAATAAACAACTGGGACTATGGCCAAGCTAAAAAGATTCTACACAGCAAAGGAAACCATCAAAATGAAAAGGCAACAATTGAATGGAAGAAAATAACTGCAAAACATATGTATAATAAGGGGTTAATATCCAAAATATATAAAAAGTAAAAATAAACAAATAAAAAATCAAAACACCCAATTAAAAAAATGGGAGGATGTGAGCATTTTCCAAAGAAGATATTTAGATGGCCAAAAAGTATATTAAAAGATGCTTGACATCACTAATGATCAGGAAAATAAATAATCAAAACCACAATAAGATAATCATCCCACATATATTGGAACGGTTATTTAAGAAAAAGAGAAGGAATAATGTGTTGGCGAGAATGCAGAGAAAGGGAACCCTTGTGCAGTGCTGGTGGAAACGTAAACTGATACAATCACTAGGGAAATTAGTTTGGAGGTTCCGCAAAATACTGAGATAGAACTTCCATATGATCTAGGAATTGTACTTCTGGGTATTTTTCCAAAACCAACAACAAAAACACTAATTGGAAGAGATACAGCTGACAGACCCTCTGCATCCATGAGTTCCACATCTGCAGATTCAACCAGGTACAGATTGAAAATATTGGGGGGAAATGTTATGTTGCTGCTACACACATATGAACTTTTTTCTTATCATTATTCTTTAAACAGTACAACTACGTACATATGATTTGTACTGTATTAGGTATTGTGAGTAATCCAGAGATTATTTAATATATATGAGAGGATGTGTGTTGGTTGTATACAAAACTTTGACCATTTTATATAAGGGACTTCGACATCCACAGATTTGGGGGCGGGGGGGACGTGTGTGGGGGTGCGGGGAGGAGACCGTGGTCCTAGAATCAGTTCCCTGTGGATACCGCAGAATGACTGTATATCCACCTCCATGTTCACTGTAGCATTATTTACAATAGCCAAGATATGAAAACAACCTAAATATCTATTGGTGGATAAATGGATAAAGGAAATAAACACACACTGAAATATTATTATTCAGTCATAAAAAAACTAAATCTTGCCGTTCATGACAACATGGATGAACCTTGATGGCTTAATGCTAAGCAAGGTAAGTCAGAAAGAAAAAAAATAAATACTGTATGCTCTCATATGTGGAATTAAAAAAAAAAAATGAGCTCATGGATATAGACAACAGATTTGTGGTTGGCTTCAGGGAGGGGGGGGAAGGGAAAAATTGGTAAAGGGAGTCAAAGGTACACACTTAGTTATAAAATAAGAAAAAGTGAAAGCCCATCCTTTTTTTCGTTTCTCTATAGTGTGACTATGACTACTAGAGAGTTCTCTCTCAAACAATCGTGCAGAACCAAAAATTTTAAAGAAAATCTGTGTTCATTATATTAATCCTATAGCATTAACTTCATTCATCCATACAAAGAAACACAACAAATGTCCCATTAAATTAATATATCCCAGTTCTTTTTCAGTTATTAAGGGCAAAAGATTTATGTGGCAGTTTATTTACATTTTCTCCCCATATTATCTACGTTCTTTTTACCCCAAGAATACTCTTTTTAAACCTCCAGCATGCCTCCAAATGCTAATATTCCAAAATTAAAGAACAAGTCTAAATTTACCTATGGAAACTGGAAAAAAAAAGTTAAACCTCTTTAATTTTTTATTTCCCTACCAAAGACTGGGTAACATGCTTAGTTTAGTTTCAAAAATGCTTCCAATTCCTTTTCCTTTAGAAATCTAATGTTCAAGAGTTCCTTTTTATCTGAGGTATTCATTACCTAAGACTCTGCAGTTCAGGTTACACAGGGAAGCAAGAGTTATAAACTTATGCATTAATAAAACGATCACTTATAAAATCATGTTCTAACCAGCCCCACCTTCAAATCAACATGAGTATCTATGACTGCTCACCATGCCACTGTTCTCTTACTGGCAGAAGATCTGTAAACACCTGACATATAATGCAAATACAATGCAAACTGACCGCAAATTAAACTGTATTAGCAAAATATGCAAGACTTCATAAAGCTAACAAAGAATACCTGGTTCCAAATCAGACATAATTTAAAAAGCTATCTTCCTTTTATTCTTTATGTGGAATATAGGGGTAAATTATAAAAATAATCTATACATTAATGGAAAATCCTAAAAATAAGATTCTCATTCCAAGTTGTGGAAGAAGCAGGAAATTCCTGATGCAGGTACCAATTACCAACTGCACTGGCAAGGGAGAACTCAAAAGAACTAACAGAAACTATCTGCAAAAATAGAGAAGACTTTCACAAAATTAGAACAACGCTATTATATTTTGCCTCACAGAGAGACAATAAAAGCCAAAACGATGAACTATATTGACCTATTATCCTCCTGTAGGCAATCTACAAAAAGTTTCCACTAAGTTGCTGAATAACTGACTCACGGTAAAGCTGGATTTCATCTTATCAACAAAACATGCAAGCTTTCAATCAGGATTCTCTATAAAAAGCAACCTTTATGATAAATGAACCACTGGAGAAGATTCTAATAAAACTTACCATTATGTATTGCATTCAGCAACTCTGAGAAAGCTTTTAAGTAAGGAAAAAAGGACTTCAGGTTAAGATCATTCTCAAACACACAAAAGAAATACATAGGCATAGACTAAATCAGTATGATAAAATCTCAGTATCATGTATCATTGCTTGAATCGTTAAAACTGCAAGGTCAGGTCATTTTTTTACAATGGTATAAAATTCTAAATATTGTATTTGTCAATATATTTTCTACTAAATTTAAATGTTAGGTATATTGTGATAATGATGACAAATTTCCTTAGTAGTAAATGCATATGCAAAGCCACTTTTAAGAAGATACTTAGTAGTCTATGTAATGTCTTTCTTGAAAAATGTTAGTACCTAAATGCAATTCGATATGGGTAAATCCACCTTTAGTCACACTCAACAATATTTATTATTAAGAAAAACCTCATTTTTATCATCTAACCCCATCAAACATTCTCATATCCTGGATTTCATAATCTCAGCAAGTATGGCATTCTAATCAAGAAAACTAATGTCAATATAGAAATACTGAAAAATTATATTAACATCAAGATTAATGAAAACCAAAATAATGAATATAATACTTCATTGGTGACAGACATCACAATTTTGCAATGGAAGCACCATATTAAAGGGCTAACAATAATTAAAATTTGTTTACAATTTGACTGTAATATGGATCCTAAACACAAGACAAAGCAAAACTTAAAATATCTTTGTATGAGAAAAAAATCTATTCAATTAAAAACAAATTATATTTTGAAAAATTAAAATTTAGAGGTTCAGAGCTGGCATAATATACTAGAAAAAGCACTAGAGTAGGAGGCAAAAAGCCTGGGTTACTAACCCAGATTGACAACTTACTAGTTGTTGGACAAGCTCCATCATGCCGATACTGCATGGAAATTTCTGTTGGGAGGGAGGAGAAAGGAAATCAGAAAAGAAGTTGTCAGTAACTCAAGAGTAGAAAAAGAAACAGGCCAGAAAAATAGAAAAACATTCACCTAAAAATCTAGCTGGGAAGAGCAAACAGAACTGTGGGTACAGAAATTATAAGCCAGTAATTGGGATGTGAGGGGTGGGAAAGCCAAACGTGATGGAATTCTCACAAATCTTAGTGGGATAGTGCGGCACTGTGTGCGTGTGCATGTATGGGCAAAGAATGAAGAAAACATATAAAAGCTTACAAAGGAACCTGCATAATCAATGTCTAAGATTAAATGGATTCACTACTAAGAGAAAGTATAGTTAGGCAATGTGATAAAGCAATGTTTTATGTAACTCATTAGATGTGAACAGTTTACCAAAAACATTTGAATTCTGTGGTCAATTAGAAATTACGATTTAAGTATGAAAATTACTTAGCTTATATACAAGCAGAATCCATTATGATTTATAGAACAGTATAAAACTCATTAAACTATACTCAGCATACTTTCTTGTAACCTTTCATTTTTGATGATGCTAATGAATGAATAAGCCATTGCTCTTACTCTTTTACTCCACCCAAATGAGAACAAGCAGAGGGTGACATGAGGCAATAAAACACTGTTAAAAGCAAAAGCTGCTGCGAAAATGGGAAATAAATTTCTACAAGGCATTGAAAAGGCAAAAAACACTTGATAAAACTAGGACTAAGACTGTGACTCACAACCCTGCTAATCCTGGAAACAACTGGTATTCTGTTGTGGCTAACACTAATGGCCAAGTTCTTTCAAAGGAAGAATATCTGGGAATTCTCTGGATATTACGAAACCAGAAACATGACCTCTGGGAACCATGGGTACAACAGAGCCTTTCAGGTAGCCGCACACGCACCTCAGGAACTGAACCTAATCTTGGGCATACTGTGAATAACTTGAAATGAGAATGCAAAGCAAGATAGAGCAAGCCAGCGCTCACTTGATTATAATGTTAATAAAACTTTACATTTGAGGCTGTTAAAAAAAAAAAAAAACATTTAAACCAGTTTAGTGTAAGTTCTTTCCAAGGGGACACTCGAAAATGAAAGACGGTAGGAGAATCTGACACCTTAATGCTCCATTAACACATCCAAAACAAGTGAGATCTAAAAAGGAAGTGAGGGCTACTGAAGAGACTAACATGATACATTATAGAGAAACAGTAGCTGTTTGGAATGGTGCTGAAAAATAATCAAAGGACACTCAGAAGAGCCAAAAAAAGTTTCTCAATGGGGGAAAAAAATGGAATATTGCTATTCTGGCCTTTAATCTAGTATTTCTCTGCAAAGACAGCTATGGTGCAGGCCCAAATTTTCACTCACTCAAGACCAAAACAAAATCAGGGGATTTTCCAAGAAAGCCAATGCCAAGATATATCCTGGTTTTAGCAGCATCCAATATCCTATGTAATTTTCATTTATGACCCAATATAATCTAAGTATATAAAATCAAGAGCATGAGTCATTAAGATAGGTTTGAATTATGCTCAATAACTCTATCTACCCCTTGGTCTACGATACCATATTAGTAACTCTACTCTTCTGATGTTTATTAGATTAATATTTGTAGCTTTATGATTCCTGTATTTGTTTACAGACTCAGCCTATTCCTACTTAAAATATTTTACCAGAGAAAGACTTCTCACTTACATTTTATAACCTATGACATAAATAGGGATATATTTAACAAGAACCCTTCCAGAGTTGTTTATATGGGTTCAAATTAAACTTTCATAGCTTTTATATCTCAGGAGAAGTCAGAACAAACTTCTCTTGAAGTGATGTTTGTATTAATAATTCATTTCCAGGAAATCTTTAAGATTTTAACATTAAGTAGATAGTATCACAACCAAAAGAATACCTTTGCAGAATCTACTTTTGTAGCATTTATCACCACTAAAGAATTCCATCACTGAAATAATTTCAAGTATCTTAACTCAGAAAGGTATGGCATTATATTAAAGAACTAGTTACAACTACAGTTTTTTAAAAAAAGGGAACCATGCCCTGGCTAGTGCGGCTCAAGCACCGGCCTGTGAGCCAAAAGGTCACTGGTTTGATTCCCTACCAGGGCATATGTCTGGGGTGCAGGCCAGGTCTCCACTTAGGGATATGCAAGAGGCAACCCATCAATGTTTCTCTTCCTATCTCTCTCCCCATTCTTTCTCCCCCTTCTCTGAAAATAATCAATATCTAAAAAAATAAAAAACAACAGAAAACAGGGAACTGTATACTTTGAAAGACAGTATGCCAAAAGAAAAAAAGTTAATGTTAAAACCATCAACTCCTTATCATTTAATAAATACCAGATTTTTCTCAGAGAAAGTAAGATTTTTTTTTTTCCTGTGAAGGAAAAAACATTTTCTTTGGGGGTGAGTACACAATGGAGTATACAGATTGTATTATAAAGTTGTACACCTGAAATTTATATAATGTTGTTAATCAGTGTTACTCTAATACATTTTTTTTTAAATGTTAACTTTCACTTTAGTAAATCATAAACTTTCATAGTGTGGTTGAGATATTTAAATAGGAAAAAAGAAAAGGACAAACACTGCATGTCAACTCTTTCAAATGCTGTACTAATAATATTCAGTGTCTTGAAAGACTGGGTGCCTGTGTGTTAGGATCTCAAAAGAGTATCTGTAGGAAAGAACTCAACAAAAAGCTTAACATAATCTACAAACCAAAATTTACAACCTTTAGTCATCACTTAAACATTAATTTTCCATTTTATACAAGTCACTGTAAAACGGTAGGTAAATTCATCAGGATGTACTTCAGTTTATTAAAATAAAAACCTACAATCAAAAGGCCCGATCAAGTAAATTATCTCTAAAGCTTAATTATTTGTAAAGCTTTTCATGCAACCTGATTATAAACACCCGAAGACAAGTACAAAATAAATTAGAATTCTAAATACTAACCACATGCTATGTTCTCAGTGATTACTGGTGGTATTCATTCTTTTTTTTTTTTAAAAAGACGCTTAACATTTATTGGGTTGGCCATAAAGTTCATTTGTTTTTTTTCCATAAGATGCCTCTACTAGCGCTTAGTTGTCTTTAACTTCATTCAAAACAATTGTTAGATTGTATTGTGACAGCTGTCACATCAGCGTGCATTTCTAAAAAAAAAAAAAAAAAAATCAAAATTGGTGAATTTTTGTGTAGCCATTGTAACACTGAGGATGGAGGAAAATATACAACATTTTCAGCATATTATGCTTCAGTATTTCAAGAAAGGTAAAAACACAACTGAAACACACAAAAAAAGATTTGTGCAGTTTATATAGAGATGTTGTGACTGATTGCACCTGTCAAAAGAGGTTTGCAGAGTTTTGTGTTGGAGATTTCTCACTGGACAATGCTCCACAGTTGGGTAGACCAGTTGAAGTTAACAGCAATCAAATGAAGACATTAATTGAGAACAATCAATACTATATCATGTAGGAGATAGCAAACATACTCAAAATATCCCAATCAATAAAGTTATTGGTGAAAATAAAAATTGTGTCTTTTGTTTTAGGGAAGAAAACAGACTTTTTGGCCAACCCAATATTAAGCTTAAAGCACTGTGCTGGCAATGAACAGACAGTGGTGAAGATGACAAACACAGCCCCTGACCTCATGCAGCTAGAATTAAAGTGCATGTGATAGTCTTAACGTCATAGCCAAAAGATGCTTACAAAGGTCACTTTTGTTATTTCTAAATTATGAACCTGTCATTACAGCAAATGAATCTCTTTAAAAGGGCACCATGAAAAGCAATTCTTGATAATGTGCTACACAGTATACATTTTCTCCTTCCTACTTACTTATATAAGGAGAAAGTTTCCTGCTTTTATGATTATTGAATGATTTCTCAATCTAAAATTAATCTAAAGGAAAAATTAATATTTTCTTGCTAAGAGGAGATACTATTGTTGCAAGTTAAATTACTGGCTAAAATTCTCTCATTGATCCTGCTCCTTAAAGTATGATTGACATATATACTAGTGTGATTTTAACTCATCAGCAAACATCCCTTGAATTTTTTAATTGTTTGAAATCAAGGAAAATGTAGAGTTCCATGACTTAGAGCTGTGAGAATTCTGTTTCTTTTTTATATGAGTAACAATACTTGATGTTTGTCAAGCGCTTGACAGTATACTGTTTCAACAACAGTTAGTAATTCTTAATTTATGCCAAGGAGGCATAGTTTCTAAATATCCATGGCATTTGGCCTGCTTTTTCTAGGTAAGAAAAGACTTTTTAGTACTAAGTGTGTCAATAAGAGAGTGCTCTGATCTAATCCTAAAAATTTTATTATAATGTATAAAATTAAAGAATATATTATCTTGAATAGTTTTAAGTAACTAATCTTGTTTCATTACTTACTGTAATTTTAACTTTAACAAGACACACAAGTATAAATGTAACAAGAAACTGAAACTCAAATTTAAGTTTTTTAAATACAAGTTTAAGAAAAAATCCCAGCAAGTCTAAATTTGTTATTTATTTTTCTTCCATAGATGTACCACAAACATTGCTGAAAATAACCATTGTATAAAGAATACTATTTCTTATGCCTAAAATCTCCCTAATCTGTAACACATAGGAAAATCTTTTCAGAGATGTGCCATATTTTTGCCATGTATAATGCACATTTTGCCCAAATTCTTGAGGGAGGAAATAAGGATGCACATTTTACATGGGTAGTACTAATTCTGTATCTATAAAAATGTTTTTAATTCTTTTATTCATGCTTATGAGTTAAAAGTGTAACTCTAGAAAGCAATAACGATAGCTGTGTGTTCAAAAATAAATGCTAAAATTCCTTCATAATACAATAACCAGCTATCCAAATATAAATAAATACCAGCTATCTAAAAATAAATAAATTATTGAATTAAAAAAAATTTTTTGGTTTCTTCATAGATGTGCATTTTATGCACAGGAGTGCATTATACATAGCAAAATACAGTCAATTAATTATTTTAATTCCATTAATTTGAAGATGTGTTTCAAATGGCATCTAAATGCAATTCCTGAAATTTGCTAATTATCAGACTAGAATTCTATGTATTGAAATCAGTGAAGATCTCTTCACAAAAGCAAGTTTAGGCTCAATTTTTTCAGTGTCACCTATCTGATTACTGTACCTCTTACTAAAACTGAAAATAAACTCAATTTTTTTCTGAGCAAATTTATCTAAATTTACTTTTTTGTGACTAGAGGCTAAAACTAATTGTTAAGACATGCTGGTCGCAAATGTCAAATGTTTCATATTACATAAATAAAATGTATGTTCAAATCTGTAATATATTTAAATCTTGTCAATGAACTAATTTCTCAATGCAATTTATATCCCTCCTCCCCCAAAACAGTCATTCTCTACCAAGGGAGATTTTTGCTCCCTGCTCCCTGGGAGGAAACATATTTTGATTAAGGTGTGGGGGGTGTGGGATGTTACTGGCATCTAGAGGGTAGGGCCTAGGGATCCTGATAAACATCCTACAATGCACAGGATAGCACTGCACAACAAAAAACTACCCTAACCAAAGTGGCAACACTGTAGTGCCAAGATTGAAAAATCCTGCCTGAAAACATCCTCCTCATGCTATTAATGAAACAATCCTTCCATACCTTCCATCCATTTCTCAAAACAAAAAAAAGAAACAAACAAAAAAAACTTTGTCTAACAGGTTCACCCCTAGCTACCTATGAGAAACAGAAAGCAAAACCTGATGTGTGATCTTAGGAAGCTTATTTTACCTGTCTAAGCCTCAGTTTTATCAGCTGTAAAAGAAAGGCATTAACAGTTTTTACTTAATAAAACTGCTGTGAGGATGATACAAGATAATGATTATAAAGGGCTTAACAGACCCCGACACAAAACAAGTGGTATAGTTACTATTTTTCACATCTTTTCTCTTTTCGAATGGTATCTCTTAGGTTTACTTACTGAAATTATCTACAAAACTATACAAATCCCAAATTTTCTATTTATAAAATATACATGAATATTCTTTATTAAGTTATAATTATTATTTTTCCATACCATTTCCTACCATCCTCTCCACCAACAAATAGAACTGATAAAATCCGTAATAGTTTAGCCAAAATCTCATTTCTACAATCAGAAATAATTACCTTAAATTCAAGACACAATTTAAAATATAACTGTTCATTTAACTAATATCTAAACTGTTAAGTTTCTGTCCAAAAACTTGCAATTAAAGTTTTTTAAAAACTGGAAGTAATATATCATGATATAAGCATTTTATTAAAGAAGCATCTCAATGGTGTAAATAACAACATGTATAAATTCATTCATACTATAATAAAAATAATGGTAAAACTGATAAACATACTGGAAAACAAAAAGATTACAAATGATTTAAGGTAGCTCCTGAAATGTGATTGTTAAAATCCATAAATTTAAATCATTTATCACTGATTGAAAAATATTCCAGACAGAGTAATTCAAGTAGAATTTGTGCGACAAATTGTTGAGAAAATAAAGAGTGAAATTTAGAGAAAGCAAGCTCAAAAGCAAATACCAATCAAAAATACAGCAAAAACTTTCACACCTCAAATGTAAATTCTTCACTGATTTTAAAAAATACTGTGCAAGTGAAGCAAAAATAAAAAACAGGAAATTAATTCTAGGTGTTTCATAAAAAAAAAAACTAATGAACTCTTTATTCTATATTGAGTTAAGTAACATCAGATTAGTGCCAAACATCTTTTCCAAATACCAACTTGTCTCTCTGCGAGCATAACATATTTTTTTCATCAAGTCAAGATAATCAAACGTCACTTAGTAACTCAAGTACTATCATAACAATAGTTGAAAATGAATTTACTGTTTGGGTAATGGAAGAGGGATGGTGGTGGAAATAAGGAAGAAAAATGGGGAAATCCCTACCTGAACCAACTGGAGATGAGCCAACACTAAGACTTTGTAAACTTCCATTCCTGAGCAATGTAGGAGATTTCTGAAGACTAGAGCTTGTTATACTTCCTGCAGCTGATGCTACAGATGATGTTGGTGAAGCAGAAGAAACTGAGAGATGAGAAACATTCTCTTGATTTTTGTTTCCTTTGGGTCTACCAGGCCCATGCTTACTTTGTTTATTTCCTTTTCTTTTCTTTTCCTTTACAGTTTCTTCTTCTATGCCAGAAGTTTGAGCCCGCTTATATCCTGCTGTGGGAAGGCTGGAATTACCCAAATCTCCAGGTGAGTTTTCAAAGCTTTTAGGTTGTGAAATAACAGCTGAGGTCGAAGGGAGACCAATTATGGAACTAAAACTATTTACCCCCCCTTCCTGGCTTCCAGACTCTCCTTTATGTACATCTTTGGTTGATGATGACTGTTGGGAGTGAGTATAACTGTCATTACGTAGATCTGAGTCTGTAAAACTCAAGAAATCCTGGGGAGACTGTACTGAACTTCCCGAAGATGATTTTACACTGCCTGGAGTTCCTGAAAAACTGCCTGTAGTAAGGAAAAAGAAAAAAAAAAAAGGGAAAAAAGAAAGAAAAAAGAAAAAAAAAAAAGAACGAACGAAGGGGGGGGGGGGGATAGGAAAAGAAAAAATTGGATGCAAAAGTTCCCATGAGCAGTAGAAATGATATAATCATCAAAAAAGAGAGTGAAAAAACTTAACTATAAAACGTAGGACATCACTTATGTAACAAAGGTAGATTTTTTTAAAGGGTTATTACTGAAAACAAGTTTATCTACAAGATTATCTTTAAAAAATACTTGTCATTTTATAGTTATTAAATTGAATTGTAAACTATTACTTGTACAATTGCCAAGATATAAGAAGTGCTTTATTTAACCTACCTTTTACCATGGCAGCATTTCTCAATTCTCCCCTAAATATGTGTATGCTTGAGGAAGGACTGAAGACTAGCAAAATCTCAAGAAGACACTGACAAGACTACAATTGGACTGTGAATGACTAAGGGAACTTTTTCAATTACTGAAGATATAATTATAAAATGTCCCAATATGCAATAAGAACCAAAAAACGCTTCTTAGTTTATAAGTTGTTCTGATCTTCTAGATAATGTTGGTGAATGCTGTTTCTCAGTTAAAGCTACCCTACCAAAACACAGATTTAATCAAGTAACAATGATCACACAAAACCTAATCTATATACCTTCCATTCTCCCAGTCCACTTCTCATGGAGCTGCATAGAGCAAAGAAACCAGCCACTAATAATTTTGCTATTGTTTTTCTGAAAGTAAAGTCATAGGAGAGGCTCTCCTCTCATGAATCTCTTTCACAACTGCTTATTCTTTCCATACTCTTTAGGTAAAGAACATTTTCAGCCCCTCATGTCATTATGAGCTATAAGAACCTCAGGTTCTTATTTACTGTATTTTGCCGTGTATAATGTGCACTTTTTTGCCCCATTTTTTTAGGGAAAAATAAGGATGTGCATTATACATGGGTAGTACCTGAAATACCTTGTATCTGTTCTTGTGTTTTGTAATTATTTGTTACATAAAATTTTTTGTACCATAATATGTTCAAAAGAGCTAAAATTCCTTTATCATACAAAAAACAAATATCTAAATATAAATGAATGAATGAATGAATGAAAAAATTAAAACAGAAGGATTTTTTCCCCCTGAAAGTTCAGGCCAAAAATGTGGGTGCGCATTATACACGGCAAAATGTACTGCCTGGCAGAAAAATAATATGGCTGGGATGACAGAACAGTTTGGTTCATCATCCCATTTCACCAAACCCTCTCTTCATGTTTGCCAAATGAAGTACATGAACTTAGTTGTGACCACACATCTAATATATTTCATAAAATTAAACTTTGTCATATTTTAACTAATGGATTTAAAAACAAAAGCTCAAAATAAAGTGTTTATTGGAGTGGAAAAGAAATTTCAAGCTAAGTATTAAATTTTATTGCAGAGCACAATCATAAATAATCATACATAAATCCACCTAAATATTTACAAAGATACTTTCTCCTAACACACAAGAATTTCTTTTTAAAGTATCAAGGTTTTGATGTTTAAATTTTAAGCTTTTCTGAAATGGCTTATTAAAAAAGAAAATTAATAGTTTAAAATTTAACTTTTTCAAGACAATATCTGCTTTATGCATTTATAAAAGTACTTGTTCCTATGTAAAAGCATTTTGAAGCTATGTCTATACAGAAAATCATACATATTAAGAAGCCATTTACATCACATCAATCATTTAAGGATAACTGCCATTCGCCACTTAATTAGTAGCTATAAAGAAGTTCTTTATTATCCATTCTGATCTACCATTATCTGTTTTTTCTACACATTTTTGTTTTTACAGCTGGTGTTAAAACCTCACTATAGTGTAACAAATACTTTAAAACATTTAGTGTATCTAGTACTTTAAATGCATATATTCTAAAATTCACATGCTACCTGTACTGAAAAGAAATAAAGCCAATTATCTTAAATATCCTACCTTTGTATTTCAACTTTTAAAACTTTTACAGACTATTACCTATGATTAAAAAAACAAACCATATTTGCTACTCATGTCTTAACAGAGCCAGGAAAAGACTCAATGTTGTGAAACTTAAGAAAATGAGAGATTTCTTTTCTAAATGGATTAGTACTTCAAAAATATATTAAAAACTCAAAAATACAATTTTAATCATGGAAAATAAGTTTTTAATTGTACAGATGACTGAATTCTGCTAACATCACATTGAAAATGTGAATGAAATTACATTAAAAATTAAGGTTTTACTATTTACTTTCCACAGTGGCATAAAAAACATATTAAATATACTTAAAATAAAACAACAAATTTGGTATTTTATTTTTTTTCTATTTGTCTCATTTTGGTATTGGAAGGCAAAAAGATTTTTTAAGTTCTTAAAGCCCAAAATAACTATTAGTTTAAAATATACGAATATAATTTTTAATGAAATCAGGAGACTAAGCAATCTCTCTACATATTCAAATTATATTCTGGTAGATCTTGGATACAATTTTTATATTTAGCAAAAGCTTCAACAGGGTAAAGAAAAGGACCATTCTTCTCCTCCCGTTTACTCCTTGGGGCAAAAGGGGAGGGAGGACATTTACTGTATATTTTACTAATCTATTTATCTCAAACAGTTTTAATATTTTTATGTCTCAAAATATTTGTGTTTATGTTAAGAATTACACAAAGTTAAAACCTACAACATAGAGCTAATGTATTATAAAGTTTAGCTGAGCTAGTCTAGTCTCCATAAATGAGAGTTCCATGTAAAACACAGCATGCCCAGTCAATTTTAAATTTCAGTTAAACAACAAATTATTTTTCAACTGGATATGCTGTAAATAGAGCAAGCAGCCTTACCAAAAGATATGCAGGCTGAGCAAAATTCTACTTCAAACATCAAGCTTTATAATGTATTAATAATCAACAACACTATTTACTGAGAACTATTAAGAGCTCCTAAAAAATTACCCAATACTTGTTTACTTACTAAAAATATATACCTTAACTGTTTTAGTGTATAATTAGGAAAGGAAAATAAAAACAATTTATTAAAAAGATGACTATTCTATTAGCAGAAAGGAAAACTCTAGCTTTTGTTCCTTTTCTCCCCAAACTTAACTTTATTCCACATCTATTTAAACATTAAAATTATAGTTCAACTTTGGAAGGATATGCCATAACATAAAAAGAAAGCAAAAGTCCCAAAACCGTTTTAACAAGGAACACTAGTCTTGGAAGTAATCCTACTACTACTAATAAAATAATCTCCAATGATCCATTAGTTATAAATAGTAAAAAACAAATTCTTTTACAAAACTTAACTACTACTGATCATCATAAGAATAAGTATTTTAACTAAAACATAATAATTAGTACCTTGTTGGAAAGGGCTAGCTGCTGACACAGTTGTTCCCGGATTTCTTCCGCCAGGCTTTCTTCCCCTTTGACCTGAGCTGTGAGTTGAAGATTTCTTCCCTTTGCCCTCTGACCCTCTAGCTTCTGAAACTTCTTTTCCACTAGTTGTATGCGCAGAAACTTCCTGAAAATTTGCATTTGTAAATCGTGCTGCAGTATCTTCCAACCGCTTCAATGATCCGGATATAGAGTTGCTGCTAGTGCTTGTGTAAGTCTAATATTTTCATTGAGAAAAGAAAGGAAAAGGAAAAAAATGGATTATAACTTGACTACAGATTAAAAAAAGATGGCACATTAAAATAACAAATAACTACTGGACTTGTAAGGTAAACATATGAAAGTTTGTTATAAAAATAAGCCATTCTACCTACGCAAATTATGTAAAAACTATTTTAGAGTCTGTTACAAATACTCTTTTAAAAATGTAGACAACTTATAGCTGTTTGAGCATCCAATTGCAGCAATTAGTAAAAATACACATTAATCCTATTTATTCATTTATTTACCCTATTTATTTACACAGTCAATAATACTGAAGACATCTGTTTCTCAAGCAGTAACATTCTCAACAAGAATATACTACACTTCCTATGCATGGAATTACAAGCAGCTTTATCGTTCAACTCAAGAAGGCAACAATTAGAAGTGAGCTGCCACAAATTGATTAGAGGAATATAGCCATGAGATTATACTGACAAAACTAGGAGATTAGAGCAAGAATTGTTAAATTCAGGTGAAGTATCCTTTTCAAAAAGAAAGATTAAAGCCTTTGTAACACAAATTATTTCTTCCAAGTACTAAGGTGAGAAAAGTTATGCCATTATGATTTTTAAAACTTAAAAGTATTACTACATCCTAAAATAGATTCTCAATCATCTCCTCGATTACACATTAGGGAAAAGAGCAAAATAAAGATTTGTTTAAACAATTAGTTTCCAGTTTTTAATAATCAGTTTAATACACGGTGTGTGCAAATATCAGCTAATTAAATAACTATGAAAATGAGAAAATGTGTTATACCAGATGTACATTAATTAATGGGCTTCAAAATAAAAGGCTGGTAAAGTTCATGGGGTCAGGGACTTTTGTTGTCGTTGTTAAGTTCATGAAGTACCTGAAATATAACCAGCCCTGAATTTCTGTTGAATAAATGAAAGAATAAATATTTTTCTAGTACTTATAACTGAGATATTTGATGCACGACAAATGAAAAATCTAAAAATTTTCATAACTAATTTCCCACATATAACTACCATTCAATACTAAGTAATCATCATGTAAATTTTAAAAATGAGAAAGTGACAATAAAATCAGGTTTCAAAAGAGCTGGCATATTTTTTTAGCAGAAACAATATTCAGAAAGAAAAGCAAGAGAAGACTTCAAATGTTTTGAAAACCGGTACTTTTCCACTATTGCTTCCTGGCACGTCTCCCATCCCATATCATCTCACTGCTAATAACAAATTTTCATCATCAAATGAGACATTATCTCATAAAACCAAACTATAATCACTATTCTAACAAACTATAATCCATATATAAGAATAAAGGGTTTGAAGAAAACACACTCTCATTTAACAATGGTTATACTTCATGGATTATTTCAGAAACACGAACCCATACTTGGCAGGTCACTTATGAAGCCACCCACTTCACTTTTCAAATAATTTTCCCCAATAACAAGAGTGATCCTGAGGTTCTCCACCCTGCTCACATCTGACCCAAGAGAAGTTTAAAAATCTTCTAAAGAAAACACAGTGGTGTTCTTCATGTATCAGAAAAAGTACTTTGTTGATGTACTGAATAAGGAAAGGAGAGGAAGCTGGGTGAGGTGTCAAAAACAGAATATACTATTTGCTCCCCCTAGCAATCTTAATTAGGGTTGGTAAAATTTCCCATTCATTTAACAGAATTTACTTGTTTACCCCTGGAGTATAAATATGTCCATAAATCTAATGAAAACATGACAGTTGGAAGAAAAAGTATTACAAAGAAAGCAATAAATAAAAATTAAGCAAATTTCAGTGACTAAAGTCTTGTTAAATGAAATTACAGTTGATATACAATTATTATATTAGTTTCAGGTATACAACATAGTGATTAGATACTTAAATACGTTATGATGTAACATTTTATTTTAAATAAAACTTTGACACCTTTTAAGTTTCAAGAGATATTACAGATTTCAAAAGCAAAAAAAAATCTTTAGCTGAGGGGTCTAACAACTTTTAAAAAATTACTCTTAATTAAAAGAAAAAAAGGGTAATATAATTTTTAGTCAAAGAAAAACCTCTACCTTAACTCCATGTTTGTAAGTTAACTTATTAGTATTTCTCTGTAATATGCTGTTTAAATAATACGGCACTGTGGAATTCTATTATAAACATATAGTCAACTCAAAATCAAGAAGGTCTAGAAAGAAGTAAAAGGAGAAAGTAGTGAGGTAAGGCTCAAAGAAACATAATAAGTATGCCTAATATCACGAATCTACTGTATTGGCATCTCACTGCTCTGAGAAAAACTGTAGTGCTTAAGAACACATATTTGTCATGTAAGCTGACCCATAAAAGGCAAACTAACTATTTCAACTGTTATTCAACTGACTAAAATATAGCCTTTTTTCATTTTCCATTAGAGATAAAACTGGATATTTGACCATACTGAGAGTCCCCAAAGAAGGGCATAAATATTTTGGTCTGTATTGTGACTTACAGGCAACTTAATGAATTCTTTAAAGTAGACATTTAGAATATGTATGATTTTTGTTTCATAGCTAACTACAATTATAAGTCCTCAGAGTAGATAAAATACCAATATACTATTAATTGAAAACAAAAAGTACTTACTACTTCAAACAAAATTTTAAATTAGACTCTAAATTCAACAATGACTCTAATAACAGGTACCCAAAGAAATGGTTTTGTTTTTTTTAAGTCCTTACAGGTTTCAACAAAGCTCTGTAATCCACATTTGGGAGAAGGAAGCAGAGGGAAGGAAGAGAGACAAACAAGATGAAACATAATGTTGGCTTTTTAAAATTATGTACTAATCAAGTGTATCATAAAAGCCACAAATTTTTCACTACCTCAATTCTTAAAACATAGCACATAAGCTATCAAACATGAAACACAAAAAGGAGACTAAGAAGGGGAAAGGAGGGGAGGGTCTAGTAATCTGTTAAAGAGCCTAATTCACATATTATTCCAGTACTGAAAAGAAGAGTGAGAGGGGAAAAAATTAACTGAAAAAAAGTAGCAGAAAAATTACAAAATTTAGTGAAAACTATAAACCTACAGATCAACTAACCTCAAGCACTAGAAACTTGAAAACTCTGAATGCACCCCCTGATCAAACTGCTTATCACTAAAAACCAACAACGAAGAGAAAATGATAAACACAGCCAGGGGTTTAAAATGTAAAAAGCCAAGAAACAAAGATAAGGATAAAAACAGAATTCTCATGGAAACAATGTAAGCTAGAAACGAGAAAATTTTTTAAGTACTTAAAAAAAAAAAATCAAAAAAACTATTAACCTAGAATCTAGAGTGTGCTAAAATAACTTTCAAAAACAAAAGCAAAATAATTGCTTTTAAGTAAAAAAAAAAAAACAACAAAAACCAAACACTGAAAGAACTAACCACCAGTAGGTCAACACTACAAATAAATGCTAAAGATTTTTTCTATGCAGAAGAAAATTAACAAAGGAAATGTGGATCTACACAAAGTAATTAGGAGCACTAGAAACAGTAATTACATGAGTAATAAAAATCTTTTAATTATTTAAATCTCTTTATAAGTTAATTGATGATTTAGAGCAAAAGATATTAATTTTGAGATTTATAAAACAGGCAAAAATTTTAAAATGATAAAACAGCACAAAAGCCAAAAAGTAGGAATAGAAGTATATAGCTATGAGGTTCTTATACAATATCTGAAAATGGTATACTATCACTTGAAGGCAGACCGATATATTAAAGATGGATACTAGAAACCCTAAAGCAACCTAACAAATACAACAAAGAAATATTAATAATCACCTAAAAAAAACCATAAAAATATTCAATGAATAAAAGAAAAAAGATGAGAAATGGGCAAATAAAAATTAGCAAATGATAGATTTAAATACAATCATATCAATAATCACATTATGTGTAAATTACCCAAATACCCCATTGTATGGCAGAGATTGCAACATTAAAAAAAGTAGCTCAAGATTATATGCTGCCTACAAGAAACCCATTTTAAATAAAAGACAAATACATTAAAAGTACGGGAAATAGATATAAATCTAATAATAAACGAAAGCTGAATTCACAATTATTATGTATCAGAAAAATTAAATTTCAGACAAGAAATATTACCAAGATAAAGAGGTCTGTTCATCACAAGGATTTAAAATATCCTAAATGTTTTTGCACCGAATAAGAAACTTCCAAAATAAATAAAATGAAAACTGACAATACTGAAAATGGTGAAACAACAAAACCATAATTATAAAACCCCTTCTCAATAACTGACTAAACGAGTAGATACAACAAAATCAGTTAGAGTATAGAGAACTTAAAAAGTAGCAATCAACCAGAACTGACATTTATAGAAAAGCTCCATGCAACAGCAAAAAACAAACAAACAAACAAAAAAAAAACGGCATTCTTCTGGAAAGCACATAGGACATTAAACTAGATAATCTACATTGTATGATTTCTTTTTAAAAACCAGAAATTTTAAAAGAAATTATATAATACAAAGATATTAACTAGAAACTACAAGAAGATATGTGAAAAATCCCAGGATGGTTGAAAAGTAAATAAGACACTTCTAAGCAACCTACTGGTCAAAGAAGAAGTTAAGAGGAAACAACAGGGTACTTTTCAACTAAATAAAAATGAAAATAAAACATATCAAAATTCTTAAGTGGTGCTTAGAACAAAGTTTACAGCATTAAAGCCTTATCATTAGCTCTTGTAGATTCTGGATCAGCATGCAAGAAACTTAAAAGTTTTCATTTCATCCTAAAGGGCTGAACAAACTCAGCAATCAACAGCTCTTCTTAGATCCATCAAAGCAGGGAGATCACATGGCAAACCACTGTCCAAAGATTGGAGAGACAGGCGCATGGATACAGAAATCAAAATATACCCCAACAGAAATCTCCATGGGAACCAGTATCAGAGTAGAAAAACCTCAAGTATAATTGACGAATTGCTGAAAGCT